GAAACAAAGACTGCGACGGTGCGCCAGTGAAGCCGCAAAGATCCCTCATTGCGTGGTTAACCGCATCTCCTCCTCTTGACAATAATAGTCTTTGTCTTTGTTGCATCTTCTCGAAACTTTCTCAAATCATCATCGCTTTCGTGGCTTCTTCAATACATTGGATCTCACACTCTCGAATCATTCAAGTTTACAAAAAAAAAGATTTTTAACACCTTAATTAACGTCTGCCGGCGCTTGGCTTCTCTAGAAACAGAAACTTCCACGGCGAGGAGAGTTGTGGCGCTGCCGCCGACGGGCCACTGGATTCGCGATGATCCTTCATTGACTTGTTATTCGTATCATCAGCTCTGGTCAATATTAGTCTTTGACTTTTTCGAATCTTCTTGACATTTTATCGAATACTAAGGTTTTGCCAATTCAATAAATCTTGCAATTTATAATCTTTCAACTTAATAATAATAATAATAATAATAATAATAATAATAATAATAATAATAATAATAATAATAAATTAATGGTTGCAATCTTAATTAATGTCCACAGAGACCAATGTTAATATAATTGTTTAAGTATTTCTTCATATTATGTTATACAATGTCAAATATTAATGTAATAAAACAAAATTAAAATTTCACTTTTTAGAGAAACGTAAAGACGAAACACTTGCGAAGAAACATTACAATTCTGGAATAAATTCATTAATATACCGTAAAGGTTCTTGGTTGTATAAATTGTAGAAGACAGTTGTGCTTTGTCTGTATATAAAGGTAACGCGCCCACAAACTACCCAACAGCTTAGAGAGCAACAAATGTAAACTACTACACTAAATAAAATTTTAATGTCTTTCAAGACCAAAACCAGCCATTTACTATTGTTCGAATCTTTTATATTTTTGTCTCCATAATTGGAATATCTCATTCTTTAGAATTACGTTTGACAATATACCAGTTAGTGGCATGGGCAAGCACGTAACTAACTACAGATGTATTATTTTCGTTTTAGCTTCGTCATTATAATTGACTTTTTCCCGCGAATACATGCTTTTACTTTCGCTTTGTCATCAAATCCATATACTCTTGTGTCATCAGATATATGTTCTTCCTTTTCTTAAGCTGTCATTCACAACTTCAGAACTGAACAGCTTCGTCAACCTTCAAAAGATTCGAGCAACAAATACACCATCATCATTGGAATTTCGGCGCCCAAATTCATTTCTTTTCTTCCTTCCAAATAATTCGATGTTTATACCATTCCATCCCTACATTCAACTCTCGTCCCTATTGCGTGTATTTCAAACCCGTTCACCGCCATACCTATTTCACTTCACTATGTTAATCTCTCCCTTTTAAAACGGTGTAGTAGACGCAGAGCCAGAGTATGGGTAACAATTTATTAGAAATACTTAAAACTAAAATTTGAAGCTCTTCTACCGATGCAAATAAGTTTTCTGTTTCTCGAGAGCAATAAATTTTCAAATGTAACTCATCTAGCTTTGTTAGTACTTTTATTCTCATTCAACTATTTAAGGCTAAAAGGTGGGGAAGAGATTCTAGAGCTTAATAAAACGTGCGCAAATTGTCACTTCTCCTCCATACATCTAATGCACTTTTTACTTTTTTTTCAAAATAAATGAAATGAAATGAAATCAAACGCCAACCTGGATGGCAGAGGTGGCTAAACTCAGCGCTTTGGTCCAAAAGGTCGGTAGTTCTAGTCCCATCTTGGGCATGGTTGTTTGTCCCGCGTCCTTTACGTCCTTGTCACGGAGGGCCTCCCGATTTGCTGACCCCAGATCAGAGGAGCTTGCATATGTGTTGGTGTCTAGTGTGTGGTCGAAAATGCGTCCCATCCGGTAAAGAGCAACCGCCTGGATTTTTTTTAAATTTATTTTTGCTTGACCGGCGGCTCTTAGCAGCCGTGCACGACTGACACAGTAGTTAATTTTTTGAAAAAGGAAAAAGAAAGTGAAATCCGACTATGCCTTGCGGCCTCGGGGTGTCACCGGGCAGACGGCAGGTCGCGCACGTCGCAGAGCCAGCCGTCTGGGGACCGCGAGCGCCGTTAGCGCGGCGGCGCGCTAATGTTCTCCTCCCGTTGCGAGGGCCGCCGCCGCCGCCGCCGCCGCCGCCAGAGGCCGTCGCTCGCGTAACGACGCCCGGCGAGACGGACAGTCCAAGGAAACGCCGCCAAGCCGCGAATTGCATGCGACTGACGCGCAGAGCAGCCTTTATTTGTGACGCATTGTTCGCATTCCATATACTCCTGTTCGAACGAAATATGTTGGCTAACATCGTAACTCAGGTGTTTCAACTGTGTTGTCATAACATCATAGACCAGTCGCGTCTAACTTCTTAAATAAGTATTAAGTGCAGTTTTAGTGAAAGATGTTAAAAGGAATAGTAATTGTTAAAATTTGAAATGTAAATCGGTTTGCTATAATGTCTTTATTTAAATTTGTTCCTTACATTCTGCATAAGCATTCTGCATTTCCATACTTCTTTACAGTCAATGAACATAGGAATAAAATGAATAGTAATTGTTTAAATTTAGAACTACGAATTCGAAATGTAAATTGTTTTGCTGTAATATGTTCATTAAAATTCGTTCTTTACATTCTGCATAAGCTTTCTGCATTTCCACGCTTGTTTCAGGTCAATGAACATTCAGTTCTTAACTCCAAGCAAAAGTTGTACAATTTATGACGTTCGAAAATATTAAAGAAGATTAACGTAGTCTTTTAAATGGCAGGTATCATTACATGAAATTTCAGAAAAAAAACAGAATATTTTCTAAGATACGACGAGTAAGTGGAAGAGAACAAAGCAGATACTAATTGCGATGATCTAGTCTAAGAGAATAATAGATCAGAAAAGCATGAAGAAATGTAATCTTGTTTATTATAATTGTTCTGCTACTAATGCAATAATAAATAAACCCATTTTACAAGATTTCCTGGAGTGGAGATATGAAATTCTCTCAGCAATTTCCGCCAAGGTTAGAAAATACAGTTCCTTCACTTATTTTATAAAAAGGTTAAGGGAGATTTTATGGAACAGTGTTAGTGAAAAGAGTTGCACTTGGTTGATGAAAATCTTCGAGTTTACTAATTAATTGCACAAATTATTTTTAATATTCTGCTTTATAGCATACTTTGACAGTGACTATAGTTTTACTTATTGTCAACTTCCCAAGAATAAATACTTCAATGCGAAGAATATTGCATTACGATTATACAAAAAGTAAAGAATCTAGTTTTTGGAAGAAATATTGCAAATTTTGAACATGTTCTGAACATTCCGATGTAAAAATTGATAACAACTTTCCGACATGCGAAAAACGTTTGTGAGTGTGCTACTGCAAAATACCTATTCATTAAGTTAACATGAGTGGTTTTAACATTCATATAATTGCATTACATTTTAACTTCCTGAAAATTGAGTCACATTCCATACACAATTCACATTATAGAAACTGCAACAAAAATCCAGGAAATATAAGTTGTCAAATTGACGTTGCTAGAACAGATAAATAAGCGTCACGTTTACTCGACTAACCGAAGGAAGGTAGGTGGCCAAGGACGGCTACTGAAGTGAAAGATTTTATATTTAGTAATTATTTGGAAAACATCATACAGGACAATTCAGTCCTCGTTGCTAATATGCCGGGACCTTATCCCATATGTAATGTACAGACTGAATTTGCCACAATTGGATACTCTTAGTCGTTAAGTTTTGAAAATGATTAACGTTAAACATTGGACTAAGCACTTGTGCTCGTGTGACATGGGCTACGGCAAACGAGCAAGCAGTTTCACCTCGCGTAAGGGCACGCCACTTCCTGGAAAACTCGACTGTTATAATGAGAGGCCCCGAGAAGCCCCGGAAGCCAGCACAAGGCAGAGTGCGTGAGGTCACAGTTCCTCGTCTGGCGAACAATTCATGGGGAGAGATTGCTTTTCCATTTCCAGAGGGTGCAGCATTTGCGGAGTACAGAGTTATAACGTCGTTTTCAATTCGCTACTCATTTCCTGCGCAAATGCAATGCAAGCCAAGAATTTCGTCCTTTGGCCGGTTTGAGTGTGTTTTACAAAAACTGGTGCAATTAATACGCACAATTGCATGTGGGAGCCGAGGAAAATCCTTATGTTGCACATAGCGTAGCTGACCAAGAGCTATTCTCTGTGAATGGGTCGGTTGGCATTGTGGATGAATTTGAGTGAATCGGAATTTTATTACTCATGTACTCTCAACGCTTTTGGATCTGAGGTTAATGAAATACCTCGTTTCTGCTACCGAAGTCGAGGATTGTGTTGACCTTCTGCGCATTGGAAGCGTGGCGGTGGAAATAAAGGCACAACCCAAAACAGCAGGAGGAGGTCATTTTGAACACTTTTAGGGCCCTTTCATACGAGGTGAAAATGCGAAATTTTGTCTGTATACGCAAATATGATTAACTATCCTACATAACACTTGAATAATATGTTTCTCTCTCCTTTTATATTCTTTAGATAAGTAGGCAATACAGGGAATAACACTTAATGTAATATTAGGGCTACCTTTTTTGCAAAAATGTCCAATGACAAAACACTTTTTTCCCAAAATTTTGAATAGGATTTACACTATTTCTTTTCGCACTCATGAATAATTTAGTGTACTCTATCACCGGGTCCAATTAATGAAAAGAACATTCACTATTACTTTTTGGTACTAATATTTACGGTAATATTGTGACACAAACTGGAGCCTGAAGCTCACCAGCTGAAGTCGGATACGATGCGCAAAAGTCCCCTTTCCCCTCGGTCTTGACGAAAATCTCGCAAGAGCCCCCCACTCCACCCCGCCTTGACGTAAATCAGCACCGCGCACTTCACGTAAATCAGCTATTCACTGTTTCATCCAATCGGGAGCTTGAACGTGACGTCTCCGCAGCGACACACGAGGATGAAACCGCAACAGCCGATTGACGCCGAGTGCCCGACTCAATAATAAACCGCACTCACCGTCCGCCTTGGCGAGCGCCACGGGCCGGTTGGCCGCCAGCGAGGGCCGCTCCTGGTAGAAGCGCAGCCCGGCGCCGTAGAGCGCGCCGGCCACCAGGTGGCGCTGCAGCAGCGCGCGCGCGCGCCCGGCGTCCTTGAGCGCGCGCTGCAGCTCGCCGCCCGGCGCCGCCGCCAGCGCCTTGTCCGTCGGCGCCAGCAGCGTGTGCGTGCGCGCCCCTGCCACAAATTAGGCACTGCATTAGGCACCGCATCGCCAACAAATCATCCATGTTCAGAAATAAAGCAGTGATGGAAAGAAAAATATCCACTGAAAATAAACGACGTTTTTAAACATCCATGTTCAAAAGTAAAGCATTGGTGTCAATAAAACATCGAGCCGAATCAAAATTAAACCATTGATGTTTTTATACTCTGATTTTCAAAATTCAACCATAGATTTTAATAAAGCATCGACCCAAAACAAACGATGTCTTTAAACATTGATGTTCAAAATTAAATCATTGGTGTTAATAAAACATCGTGCCGAATCCATCGTAGTTTCTGAACACCGATGTTCAAAATTAAATCATTGATGTAAACCTCGATTCAAAACCATTGTCGTTTTTATACACTGATTTTCAAATTACAACCATAGATTTTAATAAAACATCGGCCCAAAACAATGATTTAAACATCGATATTCAAAATTAAAACATTGGTGTTAATAAAGCATCGAGCCGAATCTATCGTAGTTTCTAAACACCGATGTTCAAAATTAAATCATCGATGTTAACCTCAATCCAAAATTATTCATGTTTTTATACACTGATTTTCAAAATTTAACCATAGATTTTAATAAAACATCGACCAAAACAAACGATGTCTTAAAACATCGATGTTCCAAATTACAGCATCGATGTTAATAAAACATCGACCCAAGATCAACAACTTTTTAAACACCGATGTTCCTTATTAAAGCATACATGATAACAAAACATCGACGTTTTTACAGTTGAAAGAGTACAGTTGTTGATTTGATGCATATTAATGTTCACGTGATGGTGATTTAAGTTGATGATGGTAGGGTTTATTAATTTTTAATCAAGAGTTAACTGACGAAACACAGACAAAACGTATCAGAACATTTAAAAAAAACATTTAATATGTAACCGAATTATTTTTCGCCCTTGGTCACTTTGGTCTGAAGAATCTACAATTATGAATGTCTGGAAATTATTACGGATTTTCATTAAAACGCTACTCTTTCATTCAAAAAAATAAATAATCAAAATTTAGTAAAATATCAGCCGCATAAAAACAACAAACACAAACATCGATGTTAGAAAATATCAACTTCAAAGAATCTACGTTAAATACAACGATGATTTTATGAAAAACATTGACGTTTTGAAAACATCGATGTCGCATCCATTACGCAGTGAGCAGAAGTTTGGATGTTTGCTCGCGCTCGTCAGCGGGTGCAACTTCAAAGTAACTTCAACCACAAGGATCAGAGTGGAAAACAACCTCAAGCGATGTTTTTCGTTTTAGAAAAGAGAGCTTTTGCACACAATGTGAAGAGCCATATCGTAAACGATAAGAACTCACTTCCTGAGTCACTCCGCATGCGCGAACGCAACATAACGGTAAAGTTAAGGTGGATAAGACTTCTCCGACAGAATTTGCGAGAGTAATCGCGTGACGCGATCAGGACTGGAATTTGCTCCCAACTGTGGTAGCAGAGTGTACTGCTAACTTTTCATTCTCATCACGCAATATCATATTGGTGGCACTGATCTGAGTACATAATTATCTGTATACAGTATAAGAATAATCAGTATTTGTAATAATACTCGCAGATTAATGGTTTGTTTTGAACTCTACCCGAACAAATGCAAATCAAGAGAATATGGAGTCATGGTCATTCAACGTTAGCAGAAGGTCCTGCCGTCCCAGTTTAATTTATATTACTGGAAAATATGCTCTTTACTTTTCACGCGATAAAGGCCCTGTGGTTGCCTTAAAACGATTAGTACTGCGAAGCCTTCAGTCACAGGCCCACCAATCAAATAAATACAGCAGACTGACATGCAGGCATCCATGCATCAAGAGTTGCGTTGAAAGAGACAAGCTCGCCGAAGGAATTTTGGAAACCCAATGTACCCCATGTTTGTACCCATCAAGAAACGAAGTCAACGTAGGTGCGTCAGATAAATGAATGAAACTGCCTTTGTTTATTCTAGTAGCAATTGTAAAACTATTTACCTAAACTCTAAGAACCCTTGATCCAATTTAGGTAATCACGGAATTCAACATGTAACCCTACTTGGACGTCTCAGACACATTTGCATAGATTTCCCCAAGGGCCTCCTTCGATGGAAACCTACTGTTCGCGTTCCGTAGTATGTACCGCAAAGAACCCATAAAACCTTACATCCACAAACTCCTTAGCCAACGTAAGGAATTACGGAACCCAACACATATCCAAACACGGACACGCTTGCACCCATTTCATTCAAGACACGATTGCGCAGAGTTACCCTCCTGCCTCCCCGAACGACAATCGCGACTCGGTCGCGAGGAAGTGGTCGTTCGCGAGGCGCAAACGAGGCGAATCACCCGCTTGATACCCGCGCCCCGGGTGAAACTGCTCGGTGGCGGCGCAGCGAGCGGATCCGTTCCCAACGCAGCTTCCGCTCTTCCTGCTGCCGGCGCGCCGCCCGTTCAATAAAATAAGCTTTCTCCCCCTCCGCGCCTCTCCGCTACACTCCGCTCCTCGACGCTTCACAGGCGGAGACGCCTGGTTGCTTTTCACGGTGCGGGAGTCAGGGCGCTCACGCAGGGGCGGTTGCCGCTGATCATTGTTTTGGGTGGGGGCATCATAGATTTTTCTTAAACAATAAACATATTTGTATATTATTTTTGTAGTGTATAGATGATACTATAAGTCATTATTTTTTTAAATAATTACGTTATTCCAATATAAATATTTCAAACCAATTTTGTCAAATAAAGTGAGATAACAAATGAAAACTAGGCCTTTCGGGGAGGGGGAATGGCCTCCATTGAGCCGCCACTGCACTCATCCTTGGGGTTGGAAGTTTGAATCCTCGAATTCCCTTCCATCCTAACCGAGATTCGAGTTTTGGAAACGATTTGAGGTTTATCGTTATTCTAATCCTTACTAGTCCTTCGTATTGTTTATTTTTAGAATCAAAAATAATATGAAGTTCTTTACGTTTTATACGTTTAAAAACATTCACGACGAAATGTTTATTTCAATAGGTGAAATTAATAGATTTTTAAAGCACCTGTACTAAGAGCTTAATTGTCAAAGATTTATAATAATTTATAACGAATTTTGAACAAAACGTATTACGATTAAAATAGTTGGTGAGTGAAGAATTTATTATTGGTTAATTGGAACAAATACATTGAATACAATCAGTTGCATTCTAAAAATTTAAATAATAGGAATTGCCATTACCAACATTTTTATATATTATTCTATTCGAATTTATTACTTCCAGGCAGCAGATCTGATAATCAGTTAGGCTTAAGAAACATCTAACACAATATACACAAAAAAATTATAATGATAATACACGTTATTCGAAACAATTCTATCTGATTTTCTCCCTTCCTTCGAAAATACATCAGTTGCATCAGTTACTATTGCGTGTAACCTCAACTTCAATTATTATTAACACATGGGCTGTAGAGAATTTGTAAGTTAATGGAGCACAAACAACAATGGCTTCTTCAGGGGCAGTAATAAATATCATCTTTGTTTATCAAGATAGGCGATTTGAGAAAAATAGCACAAGATAAATTTTAACGAGGAAAGAACACAGGTTGTCGGCACAGATTTCAACATCAGTAGCGATCACAGATTTCGAACTAGACGGAAGCACCAGCTGGCAATTAGACCAGTTGCGAACAATCGTGAATTGAATCATCATGAAGCAATTTTAGACCTCTCAACGCTTTCCTTTTCACTGAACTATTGTGAGGAGGGTGAAATTAAAAAACTCTTCATCTTATACTTACTCCATAGAAATTCTTGGTTTTATGTGGAAAATAATAGCTCACGACCCTTGAAAAGAAACTGACTCGTTTTCTCTTGGCAGATAAAGCTCATTGTAAATTACAACGCTACATGTCCATCGAATCCGAAACGAATTAGAAACGTTACTGCTTAATCCCCTTCTCCCCGCATGTAGTCTCTTTTTCCCGCGCATCTGGAAAGTGCAGACGCAGTTTCTCTTCGCCTGTCCGTCCCAAGGACGACGTCTCTGGCGACAGGATGCAATCGTAATATTCAATTTATCCATCTCAAGTGTGACTGCTGTAGAGCGAACCAAACCTTATATAGGCAGGCGCTCTGCTGTCAGGTTGGCACAGATTGCACAACAACCTTTGTTCAGATCCAATTCCCTCGGAGATTAACGAACTGAGCCATCTGCTTCCACATGAGGCATTCTTCTTAAATTTTATTCTTTTTTTAATTAAGTAGAAAGTAGAACAGTTTATTTGAAAAAAATAATTAAGAGCGTAGAAAATGCATTTTTTCACAATTTTTTCAATGCGACGAATTGCGAAAATTACTCGTTTTAATGATGCGTTCATTTCAAGACGAGTGCTAACTTTCTCATGAGCAGAGTTTTACAGATTACTTAAAACCTGAACCCTGTTTTTGAAAAGTTATCGTAGCTATATTTTTTTTATTTAAGGACTCAATTTTCAACAAGCATTCTCGAATTTCGTATTTTGATGTGTTCAGTTACTAATATTGTTGTTGTTTGTTATAAATGTGTCAGAGTTTGCTTCGTTTCCACCACTGCTACATCATATCATTTAGGGATTCGACTTTAAAGCCGATGTTTTCAAAACATCGATGCTTCCATAAAAACATCAATGTTTTAAACTTATATGCATTGAAACCGATTCATTTTAACATCGATATTTTGTGCTCGATGTTTTTACATTTTCGATGTTTTGTTCGTGGGCGAAAAATTCCAATAATCACAATTTTGTAAAAGTTAATATATGAAATAATTACTGATGGTATCATTGTCAGTTTGTGTTCCAACCAAACTAACCCGTTTTTTACTATCTTCATCGCGCAGATTATTTCTCGCCGGAGATTATCTTGATGTCCTGATATTTCCTTCGTCTTTCCTTTAATTTCACATGTTAAGAAGCGTTTCTAACTTTATTTTCATTTAAATTTTAAT